GGAGCCGAGGCAGGAAGAATGCAAGTTCAAGGCCAGCCTGGGCAACTTAGTGGGACCCTGTCTCAAAATAAATTATAAAATTGCCTAATATTTATAGGCTGGGCATCCCTAATCTAAAAACCCCAAATCTAAAACTTTTTGAGGCTGACATGAAACCACATGTGGAAAATTCCACACTTGATCTCATGAGACAGTTTGCAGTCAAAATACAGGCACACTAAAAAATATTGTATTAACTTACTTTCTGACTGTGTATATAAGGGATATATGAAATAAATGAATTTCATGTGAAGACTTAGGTCTCATCTCTAAAATATCTCATTATGTATATGCAAATATTCCAAAATCCAAAAAGAAAAAAGAACGAAATCCAAAGTAAAGATTCATCCAGGGCATCTGGGTGGTGATTCTAGGCTTGCACTTGTGCTGGGAATAGAGGGTGAAGGATTAGGAAGGAAGATGATGTCCAGACCTGGAGACTGGCCAGATAGGGACAAGAAAGATGATGTCTGCAAAGAGACTCCAGAATGGGCTTTCTGCTTCTGCCTGTGTGTGGTCTTGGGCAAATCCCCTAACCTCTCTGGGCCTCTGTTTTCTCAACTCTAAACTGAAGAGGTTAGAATCGCCAAGCACAATGGTACATACCATCATCCCAGAGACTTGGGAAGTAGAGGCAAGAGGGTGGTGGGCTCCAAGCCAGCCGCAGCAACTTAGTGAGACCTGGTCTCAAAATAAAAAGAACTGTGGACGCAGCTCAGTGATAGAGTGCCCCTGGGTTAAAAAAATAATAATAAATAAAAAAGAGTTTTAATGTTTCCTGAAAGACCACAAACCCAAGCTTTGAAACTGGTTCACATCCGGGCTCTGCTGTGGACTAGCTGTGTGGCCTTGGGCAAGCCACTCAACCTCACTGAACAAGTGTCAGTTATAACCTGGAGATGACAAGCATGCTCTTACCTTGAGGGGATGTTATTAGGAGGGAAGGAAGTATGTCTGCAAAGTACTCAGCACGTAGCCCTCCGTGAAGCGTTCCTTTCCCCTGCCTCTCCCCTTCTTCCTCTCAGTTGTTCTGTGAACTAACAGTAGTAGCCCACACCTTGTATTAATTCATTTAATCCTTATGACAACCTGTGAAGTGGGTACTACTATTATCCTTCTTTCAGCAGTTAGGCACAGAGAGGCTAGATGATTTCCTCACACCAGCATCAGAAGAAATCCGGGTAGTAATAAGTGGAGCCAGGATTCAAACACCATTCTACCTTTGATTCCCATTTCACCGATGAGAAAGTGGAGGCACAGAGGTGTTCGCCTGACTCAGCCTCATACAACCAGTCAATGACAAAACCAGTTTCTGAGGGTGTTCACTGACCTCTAACCCCCCCCCCCCCCCGCCCTTCACCATGCTGCCAGGTGCTTTTTGTTTTTTGAGAGAGGGGCTAGAAAGAACTGGGAGCTGGGGCTGTAGCTCAGTTGGTAGAGTGCCTGCCTCACATGTACAAGGTCCTGGGTTCAGTCACCAGCACCACACACACAAAAAAAATAAATAAATAAAGGTATTGTGTCTATTTACAACTAAAAAAAAATTTTTTTTTAAATGACTGGGGATGTGGCTCAGTGGAAAACATCTGTGGGTTCAGTCCTTTGTACCAAAAAAAAAAAAAGGTGATTATGAAACAACCTCATGAAAGTGGTAGCTGGCGACGTGAGACTGGAGTCTGTGTGGTTCACCAATACATGCCAAGCACTTAGAGTGGTGCCAGGCACACATGTAGGCACTCAGTAAATAATCAGGGGAGTCAAGCGGCCAAGGACATCATACAACAGCAGTGGTGGCTGGCAGCATAGTTGGAGCTGGGGATCTCTGGCTACCCCATGTGACTCTTAGGCTTCTGTCTGGGAAGGAGCCAGTGCTTTGGGGACTTTGTTCCTCTGTGGCCTGGGGTACCAAGAGGCTCCATGGGTAGAACCTTGGACTTTGCACATGGCAGACCTGGGTTTAGATTCCACTGTACTAATACACCAGCTATGGGACTTCCAATCAGTTACTTCAACTTTTCTTGTTCTTTTTTCTTTTTCTTATTTTTTTATGGAAGTAGAATGAGTTTACCAAGAGTCTGCAGATTATATGTGCTCTTTTGGGTGCATGTTCACAGGCTGAACACACATAAGATCAGTGCCAAGATCAAGACGCTGTGTATGACTACCACCTCAGGAGCCCCCTTTGTGCCCCTTTCTGACTACTATCCCCCTCCAAGGGTAACTACATATTGATTCTAATCAGTAATCCTGATTACTTTTGCCTGTTTTGAACATTTTGCATTTTGAGGTGTCTGGTTTGTTTGTTTGTTTCTTTCTTTCTTTTTTGTTGTTGTTGTGATTTGAATCTAGGCATACTTTACATCTCCAGCCCTTTTTATTTTATTTTTAGAAAGAGTCTCACTAAATTGCTTAGGGCTTCACCAAGTTGCTGAGGCTGGCTTCCAACTTTCATTCCTCCTGCCTCAGCCTCCTGGATCACTGGGATTAAAGGGGTACATCAATATGCCCAGCAAAGTGTCTGGCTTCTTTGTGTGATATTTGTAAGTTGTTCGTATTGTATCTAATAGAGAATCGGTCATTCTCATTGTTCCATGGAATTCTATGTTGTAAATACACTTTTAATAAAAATATCAGGGACGGGGTTGTGGCTCAGCGGTAGAGTGCTTGCCTAGCTCGTGTGAGGTCCTGGGTTCGATCCTCAGCACCGCATAAAAATAAAATATAAAGATATTGTGTCCAACTACAACTAGAAAATAATAATTTGGGCTGGGGATGTGGCTCAAGCCGTAGCACGCTTGCCTGGCATGCGTGCGGCCCGGGGTTCGATTCTCAGCACCACATACAAACAAAGATGTTGTGTCCGTCAAATACTAAAAAATAAATATTAAAATATTAAAAAAATATATATATCAGGGCACTTGGGTAGTTGCAGAGTTTGCCTGTGATGCCAATTGTTGCTCTGAGCATCCTTGTACACATCCGTGGGCCCCTGCCACCTCATGCACGTTTCCTTCAGGCAGATGGAGCAGAATTGCTGGTGTGTGTATGCCAAAGTGGTCATGGGTTTCTAGTTACTTTGCTTTTTTACCAACACTTGGTATTTTTTATTTTTTAATTTTTTTCAACTTAGCCATTCTGGCACATGTGTAATAGGAACATGTTATGGTTTAAAAACTGCATTTCCCTGCTGATTAATGAATATAATAAGTACCTTTTCCTGTGTTTATTGGCCATTTGGATAACCTTGTTTAGGAATGCCTGCTTATGTGTTTTTCCACATTTGTATTCAGTTGTCTGACTTTTCTTACTGACTTATAGGGATTCTTTATAAATCCTGGAAAAAGTCCTTCATGAGATAAATATATCATAAATATTTTTCCTACTCTGAATTTACCTTTTCATTCTTTCAATGATATCTTCAGTGAATAAAAATTCTTTTTTTTTAAATTTATTTTTTAGTTTTTGATGGACACAACATCTTTATTTTATTTTTATGTGGTGCTGAGGATCGAACCCAGCGCCTCGCACATGCCAGGCGAGCACATTACCACTTTAGCCACATCCCCAGCCCTGAATAAAAATTCTTTAAAGTGCTTTTGCCAGGCACCTTATTGCACAACTGTGATCTCAGCTATTCAGGAGACTGAGGTAGAGGATCATAAGTTTGAGGCCAGCCTCAGCAACTCAGCTAGACTCTGTCTCAAAATGAAAATAAAAACAAAGGTACTGGAGATACAGCTCAGTAGTAAAGCATCCTGGAACCAGTCCCTAGCACCATCCCCCAAAAAAAGCCGGGCATGGTGGCTCACATCTGTAATCCCAGAGGCTGTAGCAGGAGGATCAAGGGTTCAGAGCCAGCCTCAGCAAAAGCAATGCACTAAGTAACTCAGTGAGACCCTGTCTCTAAATAAAACACAAAATAGGGCTGGGGATGTGGCTCAGTGGTCAATTGGCCTGGAGTTCAACCCCTGGTGCCCCCCAAGAATAAAAATATTTAAAAAATAAAGAGGTCTTGGAGCCAGGCATGGTGGCACACACTTGTAATCCCAGTGACTCCAAAGGTCGAGGCAGGAGGATCACAAGTTCAAAGCTAGCCTCAGCATCTTAGTGAGACCCTGTCTCTAAAAAATAAAATGGGCTGAGATGTGTGTCTGTGGTGGGACACCCCTGGGTTCAATCTCCAGGACCAAAAAAAAAAGAAAGAAAATCCTATTCAGTGAAGTAATTCTTAATAGTGTCTTATTTATATCATATACATATATTCTTATTAAACCATTTCCTAGTATATCATAGACATTTTACTCATAAGTATTTCAGCATACATCTTCGTGTTGCTGGGGCTACAGGTGCCCACCACTGTGCCCAGCTAATAATTTCCTAATTTTTAATCCAGTCAGATTTGCTTGCATGCTCTCCAAATATCTTTTGTTGCCGTGGGAGGTTTTGTTTGTTTGTTTCTCAAAACAAGATTCATTCAAAGATCATATGTCGCATTTACTTTTTGTCTTTTCTTAATGTTGAATCACCTCCCCTCTTTTCATAAGTGAAATTGCCTTTTTTTTTTTTTTTTTCCTCTTGGTGCTCGGGATTGATCTCAGGGCCTTTATCTCCTGAACTTCCTGTTAACTGGGATATAGATCTAGACTTGATAAGATGTACCTGAACTTATCTCACTAAACCTTCCTGGGGACTGCATCTCTGGTGGCCCTTCTCAGAGATGAGCAAGGCCAGCAGGTGTGTGAGCAGCTGTGTTAAATGTCAGCAGAGTGCCTGGTGCGTGAGAAACCTCGGGACCTAGTAGCAGCTCTTCATATTTGTCCCTGCCTTAGGCCAGGGACAGATACACCTTCATTTGTTCCTGGGAAACAGTTTCCCTGAGGCTTCTCCTGTTGCAACCAGGCGGCAGAGTCCTGCCGTGGGCTGCCTGGGTATCCCCTACCTCTCTCTCTTCTTGCCCTCAGACAACACAGGCAGTTCCACATACCGGCCGCCCCCTCGGACACGGGAGGTGATGATCAATGGGCAGATGGTGAAGCTGAAGTATTGCTTCACCTGCAAGATGTTTCGGCCACCCCGGACCTCACACTGCAGCGTCTGCGACAACTGTGTGGGTGAGTGGGAGGCCTCAGGGAGGATGCAGGGGTGCCTGAGACAGACTGAGTCATGGGACAGGAGGTCTTGTGTAGAGCAAGGTGGGTAGTGTCTTAAATACTCAGGGCTGGGCAGGAAGTCTGGTTTGCTCAGGTTTGCTCTGGGTGTGACCAATGGCATTAGGATCAGTAGGTCCCTTAACCCCCAGCTCTGAAGTGTGGAGCAGATAGAGAGACCTTGAACACTTCTCCTGGCTTCAGCTGGTCTTCAGGACTCCAGCTTCTCAGCCTGGAGCAGTAATATTCCAGATATGTTCAGACCAGAAAGAGAATGGTTTACCACCCAGTGGCCAGAAGTACTGTAGATGTTGCTCTGGTTTCCAGGTTGGGGAGGGTCAAGAATCAAGCTGGTAGCTGGATGCGGTGGCACATGCCTATAATCCCAGCGGCTCGGGAAGCTGAGGCAGAAGGATCAAGGCAGCCTCAGCAACAAGGAAGCGCTAAGCAACTCAGACTCTGTCTCTAAATAAAATACAAAATAGGGCTGCGGATGTGGCTCAGTGGTCCAATGCCCTGAGTTCAATCCCTGGTACCATGCCCGCCCCGCCCCCAACCTGCCAAAAAAAACAAAAAACAAAAAAACAGAATCAGGCCAATGAAGTGGTGAGGATAGATCTGGGGCTGGAAACTGGACTCCTGACCCACACTTTAGTGCTTGCTTTGCCTCCTGGCCCTGCTCTTCAGAGGCATGCAGCTCTGATGGGACCTCACTAGGTCCATAAGGGAGGGTGCCATAAGGGAGACACTTCGTGAGGGCCCAGGTGAGCTGAGCCATGGTGACAGTGCACAGTTCTCAGGGCAGTGAGCTCATTGTGCCAGCTCAGCATGTCCCACGTGGGAGAGCAATAAGGAACACCCATGACGGCAGGCAGCAGAGGGGTTGACTCAGTGGGTGTCATTCGCCCCTGAAAGTCTGCCCCACCCGACTCCTGTAAGGGCACTAGTCTTGGCCTGAAGCCTGCAACGGGCTTGTGACCCAAATTCCCACAGGGACTTTCTTCACCAGTCTGGGTGTGGCCCACCCCCAGGGACATAGCACTGGTGTGAGCTCAGCCCTGGCCCAGATGCCTGCTCTCCATGAGTTACATAGCGGCCCGGCCCCTCCCTGAACCTCTAGTCCTAGAGCAGGGGACAGGATCATTGGCTGTTGGCATATGGCTGGGGTAGCAGGTCAGGCAGCATGTACTTTTTGTGGGTCATTGTCCCAGGGACAATGGTGGACCCTGGGGATTCAGCCACTGTATGAGGAGGCCACCACAGTCCCTCTCGGGGGGCTCATGATCAAGCAGGGACAGTTGGCCAGTCCAGTGATCATGAGCAAGTATCTGAACACACACGGGCCCAGTGCAGTCAAGAGGAGCAACAGAGCAGACCACAGGGGACCTCCACCATCTGGGGTCTGAGGGGACTTTTTAAAGAAGTGGCTTTGCAGCTGAGGCATGAAGGAGACATCACTGCTCACCAAGAAGAGAGGGAAGAACGTGTCCAGCAGTGGGAACCAGTGCGGGGCAGGCCCAAAGCCAGGCATGTCCGAGGCCTGGAGCCTGCTGGTGCGGAGAGGGCAGGGGTTGAGAGCCCTGGTCCAGGATGAGAACTCTAGATTCCTATGCTGGTCAAGGCCAGATTCATACTAACCCGTCCCCTTGGCCCTTTCCTAGAACGGTTTGACCATCACTGCCCCTGGGTGGGCAACTGTGTGGGGAGACGGAACTACCGCTTCTTCTATGCGTTTATTCTCTCCCTCTCCTTCCTGACGGCCTTCATCTTCGCCTGCGTGGTCACTCACCTGACGCTGCGTAAGTTGTAGGGAAGGGACGGGGAGCAGCAGGTCTGAGCAGCAAGCTCAGTGAGGACACCACCCCTCTGAGCTGTGTCTTTTGTTTCTTCCTCCCCAGGCTCTCAGAGAAGCAACTTCCTCTCCACTCTGAAGGAGACACCAGCAAGATATCCTTTGTCAGATAGTGGATACCCAGGTGGAAAATAAGTCCCTGCACTAGGGCAAGTCCCCACAGGGGACAGTAGAGCCTGTATCTGGCCTCTAGAATCCCATGCACCAGCTGCCTCTGTTCACACCAGGCTTGGGCTCATCCTAAATAGGGCATCTTGGGGCTGAGCTGGCTGAGAACTCCCAGGAGGCCCTATCCACTGTCTTCAGGGGCCTGGAAGAAAGCACACTGAGCTCCCTGGACTGGGGTATGTCTGAGGCTCCATATCTGGGAGCCTCGGTTCCCCCTGCTGTCCATCACCCCAATCTGGTCTTGTTCTGGTGGGGAACTCCCTACTCCTCCTGGGAACCCAGGAGGTGATCCCGCTGAGAAGTGGTGACTGGGCCACAGGAAGGTTCCAAAACTTGTTCACCTGTCTGGGAAATAACTCCAGAGAAGGATATTGAGAAAAGAGAATTGTGGCAAGCTCCCAGGCCCAGAGAGGCTCCTACCCTCCTCCACCCTATGCATGATGTCCTTGACTGTCCCACTGTGCTGGAGTTGGTGATCTGCTTCTTCTCCATCTGGTCCATTCTGGGCCTCTCAGGGTTTCACACTTACCTCGTCGCCTCCAACCTGACAACTAATGAAGATGTGAGTAAGGCTGAAGCTGGGCTGGGGGAGCTGGGGTGGCCAAGGGCAGCCCTGCTGGCAGACTGCTGGGGGAGAGGGTGGAGGTAGAGGGCAGCCAGACATGCTCCCTGGCCCCCAAGCAGGCTCCTGAGATCCCAGCATGCTCTGGCCTCTCAGTGCAGCCTACTAAGGTCCCCAAGTTGTTCTCAGAGCTCTGTGAAGGCAGCACTCATGCCGGGGTACTCATGACTAGCCAGTGTGTGGCCACTTACAGAGTTCCTGAAGTTCCCATCATCTCTTTGGGTCCCTTTGCCTAGCCCAAGCACAAGCACAGGGATGCTTTTATCCATTGGATGGCTGAGAGATGTGCCTCAGGGTCACAAGCTGGGAAGGTGCAGAGCCAGAGTTGGTGCCCAGAAGCCACATCTGTGCTAGCTGTGCTCTGCCGCACTGCACCTGTAGGCAGCAGCTCTGTGACTGCGACTCCCTGAGGCATTCTTTCTGAGAGCTGCAGAAGGACAGGACCGTGGGGCTCTACTGTCCCTCCCTACCTAGGGCCAGTCCTGATCTCTCCTCCCCACGCTCCAAACAATAAAAAGCAAACCTGAGCATATGTTCCCTGGTTCACCATCTGGTACTGATCAGAGACCATTATCCAAAGAAAATACATTCCATGACCTCGGCATCTCACTTGGGGAAACAAAATTTAACATGCATGACAGGGTGTCCTGTGCTTGGTAATTGGCAAGAGCAGAAGTGACATCAGCCACCATGTCCCAGAGTGGTTTCCTGGGTACTGGTTCTGTAGGGTAGTTCCAGAGCTTAAGCAAAAGGGCAGCTATGGCACAATGAGACTAGAAACGTCTGGGTTTTACCTAGGTGGGTCTTTCCCAGTGCCTTTAATAGCTGACTTCACAGAGCTAGAGATCAGCCAGATTTTGTCTAATGATTCACTAGTCTGAGAATTAGTAGTATTATCTGAGAATTAGTATTATTGTCCCTATTTTTCATATGGTGACAGACTGAGAATAATCTGTCCAGGGTTGTGTAGCTAGTGAGTGGCAGGGCCAGGGTTCACAGCCAGGTCAGCCTGAGCCCTGTGCATTAAATACTGTCCTTCCTCTTGGGTGGCTACCCAGAGCAGGGAGAGATTGACCCACAAACTTTTCTCTGGAGATTTCTCTTTGATTCTATTGTCTTCTGTCCTCGTTAAGGCCTCTGATCTCTGCTGGGGATCCCTGACATCTGATGGTCTCCCACATTGTCATTGAATGACCCTGGGTTAAAGACCTGTTCCCTCTAATACTTCAGTCAGAACTGGCTTCAGAGTTGGTAAACTTTCCCCAGCCTCTAGAAGAGTGAAACCAAGCCAGGCATGCACACCTGTAATTTCAGCTACTTGGGATGCTGAGGCAGGAAGGTCACAAATTTGAGCCTAGCCTCATCAGCTTAGCAAGAGCCTCAGCAACTCAGTGAGAGCCTATCTCAAAATAAAAAATAAAAAGGACTGGGAATGTAGTTCGGCAGTAAAGCACCCCTGGGTTCAACCTCCAGTATTAAAAAAAAAAAAATAGGAAAGAAAGACAAATGGACCCCAAAAAGATAGCTGGGGGTGGGGGGGGCAGTGTAGCTCAGTGGTAGGTTGCCTGCCTTGCACTTGTGAGGTACTGGGTTCAATCCTCAGCACCACAAAAAATAAATAAAGATATTGTGTCCATCTATAACTAAAAAAAATTTTGAAAAAAAAAAAAAAAAAAAAGATAGCTGAGGGGTTTAGCTCAGTGGTAAGGCACTTGTCTAGCACTGCATGAGGCCCTGGCTCCAATCTCCAGTACTGAGGGGGGAAAAAGAAAAAAGGTAAGGGGAGGAATTTAGGGTAAAGTGTGTACTTAACATGCACAAGGCCCTGGGTTCAAACTCCGGCAGCATGTTTAAAAAAGGAAGGTAGAGCTGACCCAGGCTTCCTTCATGCTTGCAGATCAAAGGCTCGTGGTCCAGCAAGAGGGGCGGTGAGGCCTCTGTCAACCCCTACAGCCATAAAAGTATTATCACCAACTGCTGTGCTGTGCTCTGTGGCCCCCTACCTCCCAGGTAAGCCACAGGGTGCAGAGAGAGGTCCCATGGAGGGTGGCACATCCTCACAGAGGTCCTGGACCTCAGCAGACCTCTCTCTACACTACAGACCTCTGCCCACTGCTCCATGCAGAGTGCATTCTGGATTTGTCATGTAAAGAGATTCTGTGCAAGTTTGTCATTTTTAGTCACATGAGCTCATTGTAGGAAAAAATTAAGTACAAAATATTAAGGACTATTAGATATTACATATAATCTTACCCCCTCAGGGATCATCACAGGGACTGTTGTGGCCACACTTGAGCAACCCTGCCATTCCGGCTGGTGCTGGGTGGGGTGTCTACCCTCTCCTGGCAGAAGGGAACCCTGGTGGCTCAGCCCTGCCAGGAAGTTTCCTGTCCATCATGACACCAGGGGGCACCAGAGCTCCAGAACAGGAGTTAAATTGCCAAAGACACTGCTAGGACTAGACCTCCCCTTGTGGTCCTGTGCCCTCTCCTGTCCCTGCAACCCCTGGTCCCACCCAGTGTTCCTGTGACCTGTCCTGCCTGGTGGAGAAGGGACAGTAGGAATTTCACTATTTCCGAATGCTTATTTTTCACTTTTCCCTTAACCTGCAGCCTGGCTTCTTGTTAGCCAATCAGACAGGTGGGTCAGTTTGAATTAACAGTGAATAAATCTTGTGGCCAGAAGCTAGGTGTCCAGAGACAGAGAGAGTGTCTTAGCCCCGGATGGAGAGCAGCCTCCTTTTCCTCAGCCTTGCTAGGATCAGTCTTTCCCTGGCCAAGAGTCGGACTCTGCCATCTAGCTCCTGGCCTGGAGCTTTGGCATTGGACACGGTCCTCATGTATCATTGTGCCCTTGTGTTTTGGAAGCCTGATTGACCGGAGGGGATTTGTGCAGTCTGATACCGTGTTGCCCTCGCCCATCAGAAGCGATGAGCCAGCCTGTGGAGCCAAGCCAGATGCCAGCATGGTAGGAGGCCACCCTTGAACACGGCTCAGTACTTGCCACCTGCTGGCCTGTCCACCCCTCCGTATTCGCCTGCCGCCCTCCACACCTGCTGGGACCCTCCCCATTCCATCCAAGGGAAGCAGAGCTGCCAAAGACTGGTGTCTTTTCATATTTATTTTCCACTCTGCGTGGCTTTTCCCAAACCGTTCCATGGCTGTACCCCCTGCTCCCCAAACCCAGGTTCCCAGAGCCATGGGCCCTAGGTCTCTCAGCTGATCAGTGGCAGGAATGACAGGAGAGCCAGAGCCTCTGGAGGCCATCAAGGGGACCATGCCAAGTCTCTGCCTGTGCCAGGGCGAGCCCTGTGTGAGTGAAGGTGTGAGCTGAGTGTGAAGCCTCCCAGGTGGGGCACTGCCTGGGCCTTGCTGAGCTGGGGCCTCTGGTGAGACAGGACTGTTGAGCAGCCAGCTCTGGACCTCAGGCCACAGAGAGGATGTGCCAGTGGGCTGCTTTGGTGTGGGGGCTCCTGCATTCTCTTTATGATGATCATTGTTCTTTCTACTATTGGGTTTTTGGTCTTTTTGTTTTTTTGTTTGTTTGGAGTTGACCAATAGGATGGGTTCCACGGGGGTAGGGGGAAGCCAGCCAGGCAGCCAGAACCTTAGCTCCTGTAGAGTCCTGAGCAGCACATAGGAAAGGGGTCCTGGCCCTTCCCCCGCCTGTGGAGGCTCTCTAAAGGATCCCAGGCTACCCCACTATGTCTCTCGCAAGTCAGGGCTGGGGATAGACGGGTTATTCTCATGCTGGCAATACTTGAAACGGGTTTATTATTGCTGGGTATTTTGCACAATTTTATAGACCTCTTTTCTACATAGTCTTTTTTAAATGATGTGTAGTGCAAGGTGAAGGGTTATCGGAAGCCTAGTTCATTTTAATAAGTTTGTTACAAGAGACCTTCTGTCTGTGAATGTGTGTGTATGCGCGTGTGTTCATGTGTGCCCTTGTATGAGTGTGGCTGGCTCCCACATCCGCTGGGCTGCCCCTTTTCCCTGTCCCCCTTGATTCAGGAGCAACTTAAGCCATGGGGCAGGGAACATGTGTGTTGGTCACAAGAGCCCCCTGGCCTCCCATTGGGGCTCAGACCCCATCCTCTTTAAAGGCAGGAGCTGGGGACTCTGCCGCCACTTCCCTTGCCACCCAGCCTCCAGGTTAGGCTTCCAGCTAAGATCTGCCCAGACAGGCTGTGGCCGGGCGTGGTGGGTGGGGTGATGGCTTTGGGGAGCGGCTGCCATTCATCCCACAAGCCACACCTCCTCCCCAGAGCTCTGAGTATGGAACCCAGTGCCAGGGACTAGAGGACAAGGTGTTTCTGCCAACTGGGGGCTTCGGTCCAGAGAATAGGAAGGAAGAAGCAGGATGGGCCAGAAGCTCAGAGGATGTCCCTCCTTTGCCAGAAGCTGTAGTTTCTTATAAAAATAGAGAATTACCCCCAGACTCCTTCTTGGCCCTTCAAGTGGGCCAAAGCCCTTGAAAAGTGACATAGGAAGTCATTAGATCTTGTCCTTCCTTGCTCCAGAGACCGGTGGGTCACAGAGCTGGGAAGTGGCCACAGCAGAGGGCCCTTCTGGGAGAACCAGCTCCGCCCAGCCTCAGGACCCTGGGCCCTCATGCAGTGGCCCTGTGGGGTGGGGAGGAGACTGGTTGGAAGAGGGGGCTCCCACCTGCCTTTTATTTAAGCCAGTATTCTTCTTTGATTCTGCTTGTAATAAAACTTTTGTTTTTAAGAGTTGATTTGCTTTGGTTTGGTTTTTGTTTGCTTTTCCTTTGCTGAGGCCCCAGCTGGCAGCCTTGGGTTCTTTCAGACAAACTTGTCTTTCCTGGGGAGACAGAAAGATCCGACTGAACGGTCTGGCTGAAGTTCCCCTCATGGAGCTCTGTCTGTGGGAGGCAGAGTAAAGGAAGAGGCTGTGACTAAGCCACCTTGTCCCCTCTTCACCCCCTCCCCTTCCCCTGCCTCAGAGGCTTGGAGCCCTCTTGACTGCTTGGCTAAGGAAATGTTGGAGAGTCCAGTTTGTGAGCAGAGCCTCCCACCTGGGTGGTAGGGCCCAGCCAGACAACTCATAACACTGGCCCACCTCTCTGGTATCTCCCCCAGGAGGACACCTGTCAGGATTTTGCCATCTCCTGCACAGCCTGAGGGGGCTAACAGGCCTCTTTGCAGAGGGTTAGCTGGTAAGACCGTATCTCGCCTGGCGGCCAGCACTGCCCGCTCCCCTCACACACCATTTCATCGTCACCGCATGCCTCGCCAACCCCATGGAGCCCATCCATCTGTCTGTATGTGGTGCTCGGTGTGTGTGCTAGTGGTGGTAGGTCCCCAGGGCTCCCCTCAAGCGGAAGGATCTTAGTCCTGCCCTAGGCTGGACTGAGAAAGTGGCTTCTCTCAGAGCAGCTGTCCTGCTGGAAGAGGAGGTGAAGGGTGAGGTTGGGGAGGATGGGGCACCTGCTCTGAGGTGCCTGGACCTGTTATGGTAGTGTCCTGATGTGCAGGGTCCCTTGGTCACCAACACTCCTGGTCCTGGCTTTCTGTCCCTGCTGAGCTTTCTCTCACCTGCCTGTTTCTCTCCTGCTTCTTTGCCTTCTGCTCAAGCCCTGGCCCTTCTCTAATGGAAAGGCAGGCACTGTGGCAGACCCTGTCCCCACTGTGGGCCCCTTAGGTCACCTCTCTCCTCCCATCCCCTGCTAACCCTCTCTCTTCTCCTTCTTTGCCATCCTGCCTGGGATCTCCAGTGTGTGCAGGGGCTTAAGGACCTCCTGAGGACCGCTGCTCTCTGCCTCTCCAGGAGTGGCCTGGGGGGAGCCAGGCACCCGGCACCTCCACCTGCCTAACCTGTGGCCCATCTGCCACCATCTGTGCCTATAGGCTCTGCCCCCGCCTGCCCTACAATGTGTGCTCTCTAGGGCCCTCAAGAGGGGACCGGGGTTGGCCTCTTTGCCCCACCCCATGCTGGCCAGAGTGTAGGAAGCCATAATGCAGCTGTCAGCACAATACCTGTAACATGATGCTGAAACTCTCCCACCCTCCTCCCCTTCCTTCCCCTTCCCCAGATTTGTGAAGTGTCAAGACTCTTCAGGAATCTTGCCTTACAGCCCTCACCCCCCAAATCAGGCATAGCCATAGTCAAGCTGAGCAGGTTTCTTAAGGAGCCGTCTGGGGTGTTGATGACGCTGCTGAACAAGTTTGGTGACTGTTCTAAGCACAACCAGATTGACACTGTTCCCACAGCCCCATCCCCTCCCCCAGTAGGTAGGATGCAAGGAGCCTATATCCTTTGCCCCAAGCGCTGAGGGATGGAGCTGGCTCTGCACAACGCCATCTTCCTTAGAAGACCTAAAGGAAACCAGGCCAGGTGTGGGAAAATCAGCTGAGCCCAGGGCTGGGGGCTGCTTGTCTGCGACCTTTTATAACCAAAATAAAGATTCCCCTCTTCTTGCTGTACCCTTGACTGGTGCCACTTTTTACTTTGGGGTCTGCAGCCGGGTCCATGGTGGTATGCAAGCATGGCTGACCCTCACTCCCAGCTTTGCTCCAACATGTCACCTCTGCTAAGGAGAGTTAAAGGGAACACCACACAACCATGAGGGAAGTGGGAAAGTGGCCTAAAGCCTCTGCACTGTCCCCCCCAGAACTCATCACAATTCCAGAGACCTTGGAGCTTTAGCTGACCTCTGAACTCTGAAAGGCCCAGCCCAGACCAACACAGGGGTTAACTCCAGTCTGTGATCCACACCCCCTGAACTGAGCCCAGCCCAGGGTAACAGTCTCATGAAACCTTCCTCTCCCCAGCTGCCATCCCACATGGAGACACACAGGCATGCACACTGTACCAGGAGCTAAAAACTAATTAACTAAAAACCAGGTGTGGTGGCACAGGCCTGTAATCCCAGCAACTCCAGAGGCTGAGGCAGGAGGAGGATCTCAAGTTCAAGGCCAGCCTCAGCTGCAACTTATCAAGGCCCTATGTCAAAATAAAAAGTAAAATAAGGGCTCTCGGTGGAGCTTTGTGGTAAAGCGCTCCTGGGTTCAATCCTCAGTACCAAAAAGATTAAATAAAAAATCTAATTACTGCTGCCATTTAGCAAGGGCTTGCCAAGTTCCAGGTCCATTTTCTCACCTTAACCCAAGAAGATGTCAGCTTTTGTTTTGTTTATCTTTGGAACTAGGGATGGAACCCAGGGATGTTTTACCACTGAGCTACATCCGCAGTCCTTATTTTACTTTTCATTTTGAGACAGGATATCACTAAGTTGCTAAGGCTGGCCTCGAACTTTTCGATCCACCTGCCTCAGCCTTCCAAGTAGTTAGGATTATAGGTGCATACCACCCGCACCCAGCTGATGTCAGCCTTTATACAGGTGAGGGAATTGAGACTCCAGGAAGGTGCAGCAGCTGCCTAAGGTCATCCAGCTAACAGAGCAGCAAATCCAAGTTTGGAACCTGGTCTCTGCCCCAACTGCTAACCCTTCTGCATACCCCAGGAATGGATGAAATCTTGGAGAAGCCCTAAACTCTGCGGGGGTTTGGAGGTGGTATGGGCCAGCCTCCTTGAACTGATGGGAAAGTTGAAGCCCAGGGGCAGGAACGGACCTGCTAAGACCTTATAACAGAGCTGGAATGCAGTCCAACACCCTGACCTCATTCCAGTCTCTCTCCATAAATTCCACACTATCTCCTAGACCAGACTGGAGATGTGGGGTACTCTGAGCCATAGCACCTTGAAGAGAATGGCCGAATCACTTAAAAGTAATCTAGGGTCCATTCCTGAAAGCAACTAGTAGAGAGAGCTCTTACCTACATAACTGGACTCTTATTCACAACTAAGCAGGAAGAGAAGGTACTAGAGCCTTCTCTGATCACTTGTTTAGTTTGATCATTTCAAAAACAGAGAAATTTACTTTGAAGGTCTTTCTGGAAGCTAGCCAAAGTCCCCCTAGTTGCAAACAGAAAACCCCATCTCTTTTCTCGGTGAAGATAGATACCAACTGGCTGCTGCTTTCTCTCTAGCACAGCTCTTCAAAGCCTATTACTTCAAAGCCAGCTAAGAAAGGACTGGTTGAATATGGGCCTGGGGATGCTCCAGGAGGGTGGGAAGGTGGCAGGCAGAATGAGGAAGGCCCCCCTTGGGCTGCAGCCCCAGCTCCTGTCCTGCTGACTCAGGCAGCTGATGTGGAGCTTTGTGCCCTGCCAGGGCCTGCTGCCTCCTGCCCGCCTGGGCTCCTGGACTTGGGAAATGGAAGCCTGAGGCAAAAGGAGGTAACAGACAGGAACTGAGTCAGGATCAACAGGCCAGAGCTGGCAGGAGGTGTCAGGCAGCCTGACTCCCAGTTTCATCCTGGAGCCTCAACAGAGGAGAAGGGGGATGAGAGGGCTTCCTTTCCTCTGCTTGGGTATGCTGAAGGCATGGAACCTGTGATATGAGCCAGGCCCCCTGGCTGAAGTGGTGGGAAGAAAATTCCTCCTTGATTTAGGAGAAACTCTGAAATTCCTAGGCCTACCAGGCTCCCATTGTCTTGGGATCCCTAGGTTTCCCCCAGGACTTAGGGAAGCCCAGGATCGATGACTAGTGCAAAAGAAGGTCCTTGAGGGCCCAGGGCCTGCTGAGACCAGAGGTGTGGCCTAGATGGAGAGAGGAGGCAGTGCTGAGGGGCTGTGACCATTCACTTTACACCTACAGGACCTGAGGCTTACAGAGGTTGTCACTTGGCCAAGGTTACCACGACTTGTAAGAACTGAACTCAGGCAGTTGATTCTAAAGATACAGGTTACTCTGTCTCATGGAAAACAAGGCATATTAATAAGTTGGAGATGATGGGGAAAAAAAAGTCGGGGAGTCTCTCTACCTAAAGACACTCTCTATAAGTGATATTCTAATGTAACTACTTTCCATCATTTTCTGTCAGTGCTCTGATGAGAGCAAAGCCTTCAGGATGTCAGGCCTAAAATCCCTTCTGCTTTCTTTTAAACCCTACAATATTAGCCCACATAAGTCCTTACTTTTTCTTGTGGCAAAGAGGCAGATCTCAACTTCAGTTCTTCAGAGTTCTGGGCCTCCAGTGGGCAAAGAGAGTGCTCAGATACTCAGGGGAGCTGGGGGAGACACAGGCCTGTGAAATGGTCCCAGGTCAAGGATCAAACTAGCTGAATCCCAGAGGGGAGTATCATCTCTGAGCCATTCTGAGCTTTGGGTAGGGCAGGGTAGAAAAGCAGGAAGCCACCCTCATGGGCCCAGAGCCAGCACTCTTAGTTGATTCTTGATGAAACTTGAAGACAGGACACCCCCCCCTCTTCAACTAGCAGCGACAGAAGGTTGGCAACAGAGGAATCTCCATCTCTGAGGCCTCTTTCAAGGGGTCAGAGATAGGGCCATGGTCAAAGAGAAGGAACAGGGAAACTTCTGGAAGACAAGTTTGGGGGAGACATCACTCAGCTCAAACTGCCGCCCCATAAAACAAAATGATATGTGTTGTAGCCATCTCCCTTGCCTCAGCCCCGTCTCTCCCCAGGTTGCTAGCGTTCCCCCCCAGGGGGATCAAACTGGACTGAGCACCTTGGTGGCCTGCTTCCCAGCCTCTGACAGAAGGCAGTCTGAGTCAGACAGGAAAATGGGACAGCCAACCAGCTGGGCCCCCACCCTTGGTGAGCCCAGCTGATACATGATAGTAGGCAGCTTCAAGGGGCAGGTGACCTGGCATGGAGAGCCAGAGGGTAAGTCCTCAGACAAGTGGCAACAGGCCACCAACTTGAAAGGGAAAATTGTGCTGTGATGGGGAAGGTGTTGAAGGAACTTACTGGGTGACTAATTACAAAGGCTGGGCTGGAGCGTCAGAGGCCACTTGTTAAACTCTTCATTAAGTGGCAACCTGAAAGCTCCTACCTATGCATTCTAGGAGCTCAGAGGGGACCTTGAGAGAGAATGAGGACCAGGGGATGGAATGATGTTTAGGTAGACTCAGGAAGAAGCCTGGAAGAAAGGTGTTGAGGGAAGCAATATAAGAAGCTGGTAGCTGTGTGACCTTGGGCAGATTTCGCCCCTCTCTGAGACTTAGTGTTCCCATCTCCATGGACCTATGCACATAGACATAATGGGAATTAAGTTAGATCAGGGATTTGAAAGTGCTTGGGAAACTATGATTCTATGGAAACATGAGCTATATAGCCTGAACCAAGGAAGGATCCACATTCTGCTGCTCCTGGCTTGCTGGACTCTGTCTAGGCTGAAGTAGCCAGGTAGCTGAAGCCATTCTTACCCCTAAAAGGGTGCTGGGAAGGAGAATCTGATTGGGGAATCCAGGCCACTTCCTAATGTGGGTACCCTTGCATTGCAACCCTGAACAGCAGGAGGCAGCCTGGAGCCCCCATAGGTGCCTGCCCTGGTGGAGCCCACACCTACTTTTCTCCTGACTGTCCTGATGACTCACTCACACATCCCAGCCCTTTTACCTTTAAGGAAGAGCCGGAAAGGGTGTGGGGAGAAGAGGAGAAGGAGGCAGGTCCTGGGCCCCAGTCCCGCCCCTGCTCCTCCCCACCCTACCCTGGGCCAGGCCACCCAGCCAAAAGGCAGACCGAGAGTCGGAGAGGCAGAGTCCAGCATTGGTCCCAAGGCAGCCAGTTAACTCGCCGCCAGTCTGTCTGTCCCCAGAGCCATGGAGAGAGCCAGTCTGATCCAGAAGGCCAAGCTGGCAGAGCAGGCTGAACGCTATGAGGACATGGCAGCCTTCATGAAGGGCGCCGTGGAAAAGGGTGAGGAGCTCTCCTGTGAAGAGAGAAACCTGCTCTCTGTGGCCTACAAGAACGTGGTAGGCGGCCAGAGGGCTGCCTGGAGGGTCCTGTCCAGCATCGAGCAGAAGAGCAACGAGGAAGGCTCGGAAGAGAAGGGCCCCGAGGTGCGAGAGTACCGGGAGAAGGTGGAGACCGAGCTCCGGGGTGTGTGCGACACCGTGCTGGGCCTGCTGGACTCCCACCTTATCAAGGAGGCCGGGGAGGCGGAGAGCCGGGTTTTCTACCTGAAGATGAAGGGCGACTACTACCGCTACCTAGCCGAGGTGGCCACTGGTGACGACAAGAAGCGCATCATCGACTCTGCCCGGTCAGCCTACCAGGAGGCCATGGACATCAGCAAGAAGGAGATGCCGCCCACCAACCCCATCCGTCTGGGCCTGGCCCTGAACTTTTCCGTCTTCCACTACGAGATTGCCAACAGCCCCGAGGAAGCCATCACGCTGGCCAAGACCACTTTTGATGAGGCCATGGCTGACCTGCACACCCTCAGCGAGGACTCCTACAAAGACAGCACCCTCATCATGCAGCTGCTGCGAGACAACTTGACCCTCTGGACAGCCGACAACGCCGGGGAAGAGGGTGGGGAGGCTCCTGAGGAGCCCCAGAGCTGAGCCTGCCCCTCACCCACCTGCAGCCCTGCCCTCCAGTCCCCAGCCCTTCAAGAGGACTAGTATGGGGCGGGAGGCCCCGCCTTCCCAGACCCTTCCCAATGCTCTGCCCCAACTCCGAAAGCCTTGGAGGGGAGCAGTGGAGCTGAGCCCACCCTGGGCTGGGGATCCCACTCTGCATGCAGCTGTCAGGTGCTCCTAACGGCAGGTGGTCCCACTCACCCCTGCTCTCTGCACCCCCTTTCCTCCCGTCTCTGCCCCTGACTGGGCTACCCACCCTCCTGCTGTCTATTAGGAATTGAGGAGTGTCCCACCCCTGGTGGCTGAGAATGGACTGTGTGGCAGAGGCTGGAGATGAGAGAGAGAGAGAGAGAGAGAGACTGAGTGAGATCGAGAGCGAATGAGGGAAAGCATGTCTGCTGGGTGTGACCCTGTTTCCTCTCAATAAAGTTCCTGTGACACTCCTTCTGTCTTTTCCAGTCATTGGCCATGGGCTGGGAGAGGGAATGACTTTGGACTTCTGGATTGGGGCCTGACCTCCCCTGGGGCTGGCTCCCCGTGGGGCTGGTGAATATAGGTGAGAGGCGGGGGTCCAGCTCTCTCTGACAGAGGGGCCCCAGACTGGTCCGGTCCTGGGAGAGTCAGGTGAGAGCTACTGAGGCTCTGAGGCTCCTCTGCCCGGCTGAGAAGATGAATGGGTGCTGCGGGGCAGGGGAAAGAAAAGCTCGGATCTGGGGGAGCCGGAAACCAGTGAGGTCTCAGGTGCGAGGTGTGAGGACAGCGCCGCAGGGATATGCTTCATTGAGTGGCTCTAAGTACCCCAGACAAGAAAGCGGCAAACAGTTCCATCAAATGCTCAGATCTGAGCCAAGGGGTGCACGATCTGAGGCATTAAAAACCTAGACCTAAGAAGGGAACGACCCCCACCCCAGCGTATGGAGATGGGGACAAAAGGAGACGCGCGGGCGGGGAGCAGGCGCTACTTGGGTAGGAAGGGCCGCGGGCAGCCCGGCCAGCCTAACCCTGGCCTCCTACCCGAGCAGGTAACAACAAGCCGCGCTCCGCGGCAGCGGAGCTCCGACCCTCGGTCCCGGCCGGAGACTGGAGGCGGGGCCTGGGGTCGCTCCCACCAATCGCAGGAGGGATCTACCCATGGTACCGCCCCCGGGACGCGCCTGGCCAACCCAGGAGTGAGCCGCAGCGCACTTGCAGCAAGTGCTGCAGCCGCGGATCCTGCTCCGCAGACGCTGGACGAACTGACTGACGGAGCGACTTCCCAGCCGCCCGCCAAGCGCCCAGGGCGGCGCTTTCCCGGTTTCACTCAGACAAGTTACTACCCGCCTGGGCCGAGAGCTCGGCTTCCTCAGAGCAACGGGACCGGGCGAGGCCGTGCGCAAAACGTAGTCCCCGCCCTTTGAGTCATCCGCTCACCTGGCGGTGCCTGGGCCAGGCTGGGTAGCAGGGTGGGCTGGAACAAATCACCTGGTCGCTCCCACTACACTTGAGAGGCATCTCTGAACCGGTCGCCTAGAGACTTGCATTCTGCTCTGATTGGCTTTGCCACTTTGGAAAAGGCAGTATACTTATGTGGGCCTCAGTTTCCCTTCTGTACCATAAGAGGCTTGAACTAAAGGCTCTCCACACGATAAAAGTGAAAACGTGGGCTTCTGGAGTGAAACTGCCTGGGTTTGGTTCCCATCTCGCCTTGCCCAAGCCTGGTGACCTTGTTTGCCTTTTGGCCCTCATTGGCCCTCTCTGGAGGCTGAATCAGAAAGATAGCAAGTTCAAAGCCAGCCTCAGCAATGGTGAGGCACTTAGCAACTCAGTGAGAGGCTGACTCTAAATAAAATACAAAATAGGACTGGGGATGTGCTCAGTGGTTGAGTGCCCCTGAGTTCAATCCCTGGTACAAAACAAAAACAGTGCTTTCCTCTTAGAGTTGCTGTGAAGTTTGAGAAAAGAAATGCATGTAAATAGCTCAGGGTATGTGCTCAACAAATGTTAGCTATTAATCCTTCTAGAATAAATGAATCTAGGGTTTCCTCCAGCATTCTGGGCCCAAAGCAGAATAATCATCCAGGACCAGCACTGAAGAGCAGTTTTAATCCAAAACTGACTGCTTGCTTGCTTGTTTGCTGGGTCCCCCAGAAAGGCAGGCCTGACAGCAGGCTTCACTCCTCCACCTGGCAGAATGAGGGAACTCAGTCCAGCCTCATCAAGTTCCCCAGAGTCCAAATTTGGCCACATTCATGGGACTTAAAACTGAAGGGCTCTTGTCACAGTTCCTAATCCTACAGGGGATGCTTCAGGACATTCTGATGCCTTTTGGATTCCCTATTATCTCCCCTCCTTTCCTGGTGGTGTGTTGGGTTTCAAGGTTCCAAACCTGACAGACACTCTGTGCTAGGGCAGGTGACTCCTCTCAGCTCTGGAGGTGACCTGATTTCTCTGATCAGACAGGTCTGGTGACTTTCTCTTAATGGGGTAGGTCCTGGGAAAGGAACTCTTTCTTCTTTTCTCTCCACCTCTGACTTTTGCCTCTTGTTTCCTGACCACTCATATGGGAAGAGATGATGCTGGGCGCGGTGGAGCACACCTGTAATCCCAGCAGCTCTGGTCCAAAAAAAAAAAGAAAGAAAGAAAGAAAGAAAAGAAAAAAGAAATGAGAAAAGAGCTGTCCTAAGGTTGTGTGTTGCTGTTGAAGAATTTCAAAAGCAGATGCTGTGGATTACCATATCAGACACTTATGGCTACATACTACTTGGTTGAGGTACTGTAATGATGTCAGACCTTTTTGTCTGTGACATATTTAAACACCACCAAAACCCTAATCAAACCAAAAGTAAGATTTACTGCCTTCTTTTCCTGGTCTATGTTTGACATTTTGAAAATTTCAAGTCAGGCATAATGGCACTTGCCTGAAATCCCAGCCATTTAGGAGGTTGAAGCAAGAGGATCACAAGTTCAAGACTAGCCTCAGCAATTTAGCAAAGCTCTTATGCCTTAGAGAGACCCTGTTTTAAAATTTAAAAAAATAAAAAGGGCTGGGGATGTAGCTTAATGGTAAAGCACCCCTGGGTTTGACTCCTGGTACCAATAAATAAATAAATAAAAATTTTGGTCCCACTGCTAATAGGTACAGGGTGGTTTTTGTTTGGTTTGGTACTGGGGATTGATCCCTAGGGTGCTTTATCACTGAGCCATGAACCCAGACCTTTTTATTTTTATTTTTAGATTTTTGAGACCAGATCTCACTAGGTTGCTTAGGGCCTCACTAAATTACTGAGGGTGATCTGGAACTTGTGATCCTCCTACTGCCCCAGCCTCCTGAGTGGCAACGATTACAGGCATGCACCACTGTGCCCAGCAATACAGGGTTTCTTTGGGGGTGATAAAATGTTCTAATTTTAAATACTGTGAAGTTGCACAACTTTGTGAATATGAACTGAGCTGAACACTGAAGAATGGTGAAATTTATGGTATGTCAATTATATCTCGATTGAAAAGTCTATCCAGAGGCTAAATGTATAGCTTGTGTAGAGTGCTTGCCTACTATGTGAAAATCCCTGGGCTCAATCCCCAGCAAGGATATTTTTTAAAAATCTGTCTCAAAAGGCAAAACAGATAAAAATGCCAAGTTCCTTTTGAAATTTCATGGTGGTTATCCATTACTTTCACTTGATCATTTTTTTAACCTTTTCCAAATTTCAAAGTCACATTAAGTCAAAAAAATTTTTTAAATATTTTTATTTTTTCTTTAGTTGTAGTTGGACACAATACCTTTATATTATTTATTTATTTTTATGTGGTGCTGAGGATCGAACCCACGCTCTCGCACATGCTAGGCGAGTGCTCTATCACTGAGCAACCTCAACTCCTAAATCAAAATTTGACCAGCTGGCCAGGCGCAGTGGCACACGCTTGTAATCCCAACAGCTTGGGAGGCTGAGACAGGAGGATCACAAGTTCAAAGACAGCCTCAACAAAAAGTGAAGTGCTAAGCAACTCAGTGAGACCCTGTCTCTAAATAAAATACAATATAGTACTGGGGATGTGGCTCAGTGGTTGAATGCCCCTGAGTTCAATCCCTGATACACACATACACACACACACACACACACAAAAAAAAAAATTGACTAGCCACCTTCCCTTTCCTGTTAACATATAAACAGAGATAAGATATGCTGTTTTTACCATTTTTATTTATTATTACTTATTTATGTATTTATTACTGTGCTGAAACTTGAACTCAGGGCCTCATGCATATGAGGCAAGTGCTCTACAATTGAGCTACACCCTCAGCCCCTAACCCCTTACATTTACATAGGTGCATTTATTTAATTATAATTTCATTTCTATCTGATTCTACCTGTGAGTTTGCGGCTATATCCTGGGTTTATTTCTCTCATAGAGTTCCCTAAAAATGGTGTGTCTTATTATTTCTTTTTTCCCACAGTGACTCCAGCAAGACAGAACCTGAGTTTAAAACCCTCTTAAAAATGGCTGGAGTGAGGTTAGTGCCAGATTCTCTATTCTGGAAAAAGAGATACGGCTGGTCCTAAGATGAGACAGGGCTGTCTAGACAGAGACCAGGCTCACGAAGATTCAAGCAACCCCAGTCCTATCCTTTCTACACTGCCAGATTATCCTTCCAGGAAATGGAGACCCAGGGCTTATGAAGATTTCCCTCCTAAGAATTTGAGTAGTAACAGGGAAAATTTGCAATATAAAATTCTCTAGCAAAGGTACTACTGCCTTCTCAGGACAAAGCAGTTACCTCAGGTAAGGCCAAGTCACTAGGTCAGGCAGGCCACTGTGGTTCCTTCCAGAAAAGCAAGGTACTCCTCCCCATTGAGCTCTCTCTCTCTCTCTCTCTCTCTCTCTCTCTCTCTCTCACACACACACACACACAATATCCAAATATCCCTTGTTTTTTAAGAAAACTTATTTCAGATGTTTGCACCAAGATTGCTCTTCTGACCATTAGTGCCCCTCTCCAGCTCTTGACTAGAGATCAGAGTACAGCTCACATCACTTATATGTGCTAAGTAGTTTCATACCTTAATCCTCACAGCAATGCATATTACCATGTTTCCTTTGCATATGCAGAGACTGAGGCTCAGAGCAGCTAAATCACCTAATAACTAAGGTCATAAAACTGCTTATGTGTTAAGAGTAGGAGAGGAGCTGACTTCAAGCCTCACGATCTTTAAGCAACTACAGTTATTTTCAAACTGTGTTTACAGAGCTCCCTAGAAGCTGCCATGGGATAGAAGCACAGGTTGTCTGGGTTTCCTATTTTCACACAACTTCGGCTAAAATAGCCACACATATGTCTGTTTTGTATATTGGAGTTTCATGAGTTAAAAATAAGTTTGAAAAGAACCACATTGTGCTGTGATACTCTGTTTCTGTTTGGACTTTCCAAGAAACAAGAAAGCCTTTTTCTTACTCTACTCTCAAT